GTCCACACTGCGCCTGCTCCTGCCATACATCCGGCCGGTCCCTATCAATCGATCAGAGAGAGGAAGATGGCGGCGGATGGAGTGAGAGGGCCAGGATCGATCACCGAAAAACTCGATTGGATTTGTTTTTCCTAACTCAGTCAAACACTCCGCAGCAGCGCCCGGTCCGGCGGGTGGAAGCCGGAGCCAAGGAGCGACAACAAGCAGGTAATGCGGGAGCTAGTTTCTGTAAAATGGCGCTTCTTCGGAGCGAAAACGGCGAGGTAGCTGCGAAAACAACAAGAGCTGTAGGCAGGCCCTGCGCCTCGGGCCGCCATCTTGTTCCCGTTCGACATGTATGTAGGCAAGCTAAATTAATCCCTGATAGCAAAGCTGCAAGGATGGAGGAATTGTAATCGATGTCTCGCACCGTCAAACCGAACTGTCAGAACACGTCGTGAGGCTGAAGTTCGGGTCACGACATCTGGAGATGAGTTAAAGCTCAACTCTGGTGTAGACGTCGCAGCTCGTGGTGGTTAAAGTTCCTCACATCGTGTTAGTGAGGTGTACTGGTCGTTGTTAGAGCCCCGGTTAAGCTGGAGGTCTTCTCCATGTCACAGTTATTATTGATGGTCTGCTGAAGGAGCCTGAGTCCAGACAACTCTCCAAACACACCTTCACAGGACAGCTGAGGTGCTTGTTTGATGTTTATATATAACACAGTTGGTACTAAAACCTTCTGTTTATTACATAAGATGAAGAATAAATTGTAGAATGAAGTTACTGTGTTTTCTTTTTCTAAAGTGGTCACAGCCTATAAGTCCACATGTCAGTCTGTAATAAGAATAGTTTCCTTCTGCTCTTTTCTGGCAGTAGGAGACGTGAATACATCACTGAGCAACATCACTTAAATGTCAAACAGTTCAACAGTTTTTCACTTTTTAGTAATTGTATAATTTCCAAGTTGACAAGTGTAGTGTTTAGTCTTAATAAAAAATCAAAAGCAAACACTTTGGAATAAATTGTAAATGCAGACCACATAGCAGAAACTAAATCGAGTAAACCTCAGATTCCCAAGTAGCCTCACTGCATCCATCCATCATCTATACACCGCTTAATCCTCACTAGGGTCACAGGGGGCGGAGCCTATCCCAGGGCAGGGGACACCTGGACAGGTAACCAGTCTATCACAGGGCTACACTTAGAGACAGACAACCAAGCACACTCACATTCACACCTACGGACAATTTACAATCACCAATTAACCTCAGCATGTTTCTGGACGCCTCACAGCTAGAAGGTCGCCGGTTCGCGTCCCGGTGAAGACACCCGGGATCTTCCTGCGTGGAGTCTCCATGTTCTCCCCGTGCAGCGTGGGTTCTCTCCGGGTTCTCCGGCTTCCTCCCACAGTCCAGAAACGTGCTGAGGTTAATTGGTGATTGTAAATTGTCCGTAGGTGTGAATGTGAGTGTGCTTGGTTGTCTGTCTCTAAGTGTAGCCCTGTGATAGACTGGTTACCTGTCCAGGTGAACCTGCCTTCACCCTGAGTCAGCTGGGATATACTCCAGCCCCCACCACCCTAGAGAGCATTACGCGGTGCATAGCTAAAGGATGGATTGATGGATATTTTTGGAATGTGTGGGAGAACCCAGAGAGAACCCACGCTGCACGGGGAGAACATGGAGACTTCACGCAGAAAGATCCCAGGTGTCCTCACCAGCGACCCTCTTGCAGTGAGGCGACGATGCTAACCACCGAGCCACCTTGCAGCCCAGCCTCACTGCACAAACACTATGAACACCAGACCTTCCTCGGTTCTGGGTTTATGTGAAATAGTTCCTGCTGTGGTTCCTGTAGGTTTAGTACAGTATGATGGGATATTCAAGATCTGTAAAAAATACTGATTACAGATTTCATGCTTCATTTTGTTTGTGTAAAGAATTAGAGTATAGTTTTTGAAGTCATTGCTGATCTTTTTTAATACTGAAAGCCTGTATTTTGTCTCGTATTGTCTCCCACACTGGATCGATTTATCACTTAGTTGAAGTTAAAAAGCGTTGCTACGCTCTACATCATGCTACATCATCGTATCAGGGTGAACAACACTGACTTAACAAAGAGACGATGCTGATGTACACACACAGATTTACCCAGAGTACCACATGTGATGTATTTTATCCTCGAAGCTTGTGCCCGCCAGCCTCTTGCACCGTCCTCAAGCCTTCAGGACGATGGAGTTCCCGTGGCACAGCGGGAAGGTTCTGGAGCAGCTCAACAAGCAGCGCAAGCAGGGCCTGCTGTGTGACTGCACCTTTGTTGTGGACGGGGTGGACTTCAAGGCTCACAAAGCTGTACTGGCAGCCTGCAGCGTCTACTTCCGCACCCTGTTCTTGGACCAGAAAGATGTGGTGCATCTTGATATTAGCAATGCAGCAGGTGGGTGGCGGTCCACTACATATACCTGCACATTCTCACATCGTGTATGTAAGTAACTCATTTGACTCATCTTGGTGATTATCTTTGCAGGTTTGGGTCAGGTCCTGGAGTTTATGTACACGGCTAAGCTGAGTTTAAGTCCACAGAACGTAGAGGACGTGCTGTCGGTCGCTCACTTTCTACAGATGCAAGAAATCGTGAATGCATGTTCTGCGTACCAGTCGATGTCAAACCAAGCTCCGTCCCTCATAACGCTGGATTTTGCTGTTGGTGAGTCCAGTCTTCATGGACTAGTGTCTCAAACACTCAGGATTATTGACTTTAACAGTGAATGCATCAAATTTGTTTACAATTTCTACCTCGTAAATCAACACTTACTGTCCTCAACTCAGGAATAAAAGTTTTGGCAAAACCATCAGTTATCCTCCTTTAACTACCTGCAGGGTGTTTGGCTGATGATCCACTGTCTGCTTCATGGATGTCAAACTCAAAAACACTGAGGGCTAAAATCAAAAACTGGTTCTGAGTCGTGGGCCGGACTCGATGATAAACTTTCTCATATGGAATCAAACTTAAGTTTTGCTTTAACATTAAACACAAACATTGAATCTAGAACAAGCAAAACTTAATATTATGAGCACATGAGAACTCAAATTTCAAATAACAGACACATCAGTGGTGTTCGTTTCTTATGTTTAATTAAATGAATAAAAAAATAAAACTCTTATGCCTCTCTGTGTTATGCACCAACGCACTAGCAGAGCATTCTGGGATGTGTAGTACTAGCAGTGCATGTGCTATATATACCGGCGGGTCAGATATAATTACACTGCAGGCCAGATTTGGCCCGCGGGCCCAAGTTTGACACCTACTTGGTTGGTAGCAGTCAGTACGAATCTTTATCTGCAATATGAGGAAAGAAGCAGCCAGAAGGAGCTTCAAATGATGAACGGTGTTCTGGTTAATGATGTAATGTGACTGATTCTCAGCCCTGCAGTTAGATTCTATAATCAAAGTGTAAAAAATGAATCCAGTAATTGTCCACGCCTTTCAGTTTTAAAGAAACAACCTCTCCATTTGTTCTTTAAAAACACAGATGATAAAACTCGTGAAGGAGAGCAGAAGGAGGACCTGGAGAACCATCTGTCAGAAGCAGCGTCACAAGCAGAGGAGCATCCTCTGAGCGCTCCCATCGTTGACAAAGACCCCACACAGAGTCAGGACGCGTCGAAGGAAGACGACGTCTGTTCTGAAACACAGCAGACTGTTTCTCTACCTGTCCCCGCCAGAACCCACTCGAGCCGTGGACGACCCCCCAAAGCCTCTCAGAAGAAGATATCCGTCAAGAATGAGGAGGAACAGGCTGTACGAGAAGCACCCGGCTTTCAGGATGACCCCTCTGACGCCGACTACGCACCCAGTAAACTCATATTTATAGAAAGTCTTCTGAACTAGTCATTAAGCTAAAGTCCAACATGATGCTAGCAGTCTGAATAACAGCTTAGAGCCTTTACTTAATGATTTAATTATAAGATGTCGATGTTGTTGAATCTTCCTACAGAGTCACAGTTAAAATCTGCAGGCAGCTCGTCGTACATAAGCTCTCGAGGGAGAAGAATCAGAAAACCTCCTCGAAGAAACTTCCCACCTGGTGAGCAGGCTGTGCTAGTTTAGCGTGTCCCAGCTGCAAAACCGTCTGAACCCCAAAACCAGCAGGTTGGAAAAGTATGTCAATGAAAAATCTATACAGTTACACTGTTTGTCATAGAGAGCAGAAGTAAAAACAGAGAAAGGGTCGTGTGATTTTAACTTCTGTCTGACAACAAAACCAAATCTAAGAATAAGATACAGTCGTGACTCGATAATCGACCCTTAACAATCCTAAACCTTTTTGGTTTTTAGGAAAAACCAACAGAACCCATAAAAACAGCCTGAACATAGCGACAGCCTTGGATTGTGACTCCGACATGACATTTAATGTCACCAATCAGGATGACGGCGTATTATCTGACTGAACAATCCCACAGATTGGCTACGTTCACACTGCAGGACTTGATGCTCAATGAGGATTTCTTTGTGACTTCCTTCACGTTTCCAGTTCAATGCGACTTGTATGTGATCTGCTGTGTGAACTTCATACGAGCCAAAAGTGTCCCGCATGCGCAGAAGAGGACACAACGACGTCACACGCAGCGAGCGTGCTCAGTGTTTATGGAAGTAAACATGGATGGTAACGGTGGAGCGTATCTGCCACTCCCCCGCCGCCACCGATGGAGGAAACAGAAGTGTGAGCGCTAACTAAACTAGCATCAGCAGCCAAGTACTGCCTGTGTGTTCTGGACACTTCCACCCCGTCAGAGCGCTGCCCCGGGGTGGAAGTGGCCAGAACGTGTACAATCACACCGGTCAGTTAGGCTGAAGTCCAGCGATGCGTAGTGTTCTAACAACACACTAGTTATTATAACAACTATGAACAATAATGAACAACTAATGAGCCTTCCAGCATCAAGCCCTCCTCGTATCTGGACCTCCGTCTGGACAATCCGACAGCCTTGATATCCGACTTACTTACAACAGATTTTGAGTTGTCTTTACTTCTGGCCGTGGTTATGTTGTTCCCATATGAGTCGACATTAAGTAAACATGTGACAGGAGCGTTCTTGGGGTTCAGACGGTGAAACAACATCTCTATTTATTTAGAAACAGGATTTTTTATTTAATTTTTTTAACAAGAGTTTGATTAGAGCTTGTATGGCTGTTCTAGTGTTGTTTCTTCTTTTACTCAATACCAGGTAACAGTTTTAGAAAATCTGATGTCTGAAATCTACTTTGACTTAACTATTATACCTACTTCAGTCACGGCTCCAGCTGGTTTTTCTTGTTGTCCTCATAGACAACGACTCAGAGGATGAAGGCCCATCAAAGACAACAGCTAAGGAGAAGGTGGCAGAGCTGGCGGAGGTGGCTGACGGACAGGAGGACGACTCCGTGGAGACCGGCGACGGGGAGGCCGACGACGAAGAGGGACTCGACGAGGACGATGACGAGATCGGCCACCAGGTGGGAGGAGTCAGTCCGAGCAGCGAGCGAGACGGGAGACAAGCTCAGTCAGCATCTATGAGCAGCCGGTCTGAGTCAAAGCCTTACAGCTCTGTGACACACAAATGTGAGGTGAGACATGTCAGCGTGGCTGCAGCAGGGAAGAATAAAGAGTCGTTTAAGAATATGTAACGTCTTTAATTTACTGTTTTAGTGAGTGCACAAATATTAACATCAGCATTTTGCTCCGAGGTGTTGAATTGCCTCGCAGTGATATCACAGTCGTTCCAGAAAACCCCGGTGCTGTTTGCAAAAGGCTTTTAAACCATCGTTTTGCTCTTGCCATGTTGTTTTTTTTAATCTGCAAAATACAGTGGAAACAGCACAACCATGACTAGAAGAAGACAGAACATTACTAATTTTGCAAAAATAGAAAAACGTGGAATCAACATGTGTACTATAGATATTTTAATTCTTACATTTTTAATCTATTTCCACAGTTGTCTGCTACCTGCTCTGTGTAAACACAGCCTGCAGTTCAGCCTAAACGTCAGGCTGCAGCACAGGGCGTCTCAGTTGGACTGAAAAGTGCACTGAGTTTGAAGCAAAGGGTTTATTTTTGACTGAGACATGTGGAATAAAGTGACTCTGATGGAATATCACATTTGTCTGATTAGATCTGGAGATTTTTTTCATATGAAACGATACCTTACAAATAAGTAACGCAGGAATCGTCATGTCACAAAGTTGAACTTTGGTCGATTCTTCCTGTTTTTACATTTTCTTTCAATGATGAAAGTGTATTTTTGGCGATTTATTTAAAGGTCACATCCATGGGTGGGTTTTCTGGTTTAGGAGGTTAAATCTGTTATAGTTGCATCAAACAGGGAAATAGCAATTCTTGGTGACGAATCGAGTTTTATGCGACTGTTAGCTACATTTACATGCATGTCTTTGCGTTAAAAGGTTTTGTCAGTCAAACTTCATGGCACGTTTTTCTCCTTCTAGGACTGTGGGAAGAAATTCACCCACACAGGTAATTTCAAGAGGCACATGCGTATTCACACGGGAGAGAAACCGTTCAGCTGCCGAGACTGCAACAAGGCTTTCTCCGACCCCGCAGCTTGTAAAGCCCACGAGAAAACCCACAGGTGAAATCCTTCCTTCATTCACAGATTAACGACTAACAGCTGTCCACTGAGCTCTGTCAGGGTTTAACTCTAACTCATTAACTCCTAGCCCTCTGAAGCCGTACTGCTGCTCCACGTGTGGGAAGAGCTACCGGCAGATCAGTTTGCTCAACCTACACCGAAAGCGCCACACAGGCGAAGCGCGGTACAGCTGCAAAGTGTGTGGCAAGCTGTTCACCACTTCGGGCAACCTGAAGCGCCACCAGCTGGTGCACAGCGGCGAGAAGCCGTACCACTGCGACTACTGTGAGAAAGCTTTCTCTGATCCCACCGCCAAGATGCGACACCTGGAGACACACGACACAGAGAAAGGCAACAAGTGTCCGCACTGCGACAAGCGCTTCAACCAGGTAACGGTCAGACAAGTCTGACTTCAGCTGCTTTAGTTTATAAAACACACTTCCATCACCGGCTGGACTGTAATTATAACACATTTGTTGCCATAATGTGTTTAATTGTTTTTTAAAAATGCATTACAATAACCATATGTATGTGTAATGTTTTTTATTGCCTCTGAAACGCGACAGAACATTTTTGTTTTGTGTTCTGTAGTTGGGGAACCTGAAGGCTCATTTGAAAATCCATATTGCAGACGGGCCTCTGAAGTGCAAGGAGTGTGGCAAACAGTTCACCACTTCAGGTAAACAGTGTCCAATAAAGATCAGTTCAATGACAAACTCCAACTAGTTAGATCAGGAGGCACAGAATAAATAAATGCCTTTCCTTCTCTTCACTGATGTTGCCACATTATTCTACTTTTTGAGCTGGTGTATACAGGGTAACCAGGTTAAAAAGGTGATTTTGAATAGAAGTCAGTGAAGGTGTCGATGGTGTTCTTTGCTGCCCAACTCGACACAGTTATCTAGTTCGTTTTGTCTTGGCGGTTAGGTCTATAATTATGCTGACCAATGACAGTGTTCTTTATTGCCTTGTGCTGAAACAGTTAGTTGATAGGCAGAAAATGGACTATTAACTAAGTTGTTTTATTTTAATTAAGAGCCAAACCTCCTGAGTCCAGCTTTTGAGGATTTACTTCTTCTTTCTTTTGTAAGTTGTGTATCTTTGGTGTTTGGACTTGTATTTGAAAGATTAACAATCTGAACCCCAAAACCTCACCAACAGGTTTAAAAGGCACGGTGTCACCAAAATTAGGCTCTTTATTGTAGAAAGAAGCTGTAGAAATGAAGTCAGATTTTCAGCTTTTTAAGGATCCGTAAACTACTCCTCTGTGATACACATTCTGTCTGAAACTTGTGCCAAACCTAAGCTTAAAACTGCAATATTTTCTACATGTCAATTTATTAACTTGCTCATGTGTAATTGCCTCTTGACTTTGACATTTTCAGAAATTTTGGCTGTTAAATTTATAATTGAAAAGATGGTTAAAGGTCATTTATGGTATCCATTCATCAGACTTAGTCGACTGTTATCTGCAGGAATTGTTCCTTTGCTTTGAGCTGTTTGCTAACCTTTGTGTGATGGTAACTGCTTTCTAGGAAATCTAAAGAGGCACCTGCGGGTCCACAGTGGGGAGAAACCATACATCTGTGTGCACTGCCAGAGAGCTTTTAGCGACCCTGGAGCTCTGCAGCGGCATGAGCGCATCCATACAGGTACTCCCGTGACATTCAGACACATTACAGGAGGAATTATGCTCATTTTCCAGTCTGAAACAACACACGAGTATGATCTACTTCCTAACCTAATGAGGAAACTATTCATGTGTTACAGGGGAGAAACCCTGCGTCTGTCTTATCTGCGGCAAGGCCTTCACCCAGGCCAGCTCCCTCATCGCTCACGTCCGGCAGCACACGGGAGAGAAACCTTACGTCTGCGATCGCTGTGGCAAAAGGTCAGCGCGGCAGGAAAGATGGACTAGAGTGAAGCTGCAAGAAGTGTTTAGAAGTCGCTTATTCCTCAGAAAACATAACCAGAGCTCCAGCACGGATGTCTGAAAATATATAAAGGGGGAACAGAAAGGATTCACTGGTTAAAAGTTTGGACTCTCATCGGGAAAAATAGCAATCACAGGTCATGTGTGTGACCGTTTGGAAAAAGATTGTGATTGGCTGAACTTCCAGCTCACAGACGCTGACTTTAGGTGATGTGATCTTTGAGATGCCCACTTAGCAGTAGTCTGAGGGAGGTTTATTGAAATGTTTCACAATTAAAAAAGTAAAAAACACACATCAGGTTTTTAAAACGTAATTTGTTTAGGATTTGATGAATTGAGATTGTAAGCTTAAATGTGTGAGAAAGCCAGACGACTGAGGTGAGATGTCTTTCTGGACAGGTTCGTGCAGTCCAGTCAACTGGCCAATCACATTCGCCACCACGACAACGTCCGCCCACACAAGTGTCAGATGTGCAACAAGGCCTTTGTCAATGTGGGAGACCTGTCGAAGCACATCATCATCCACACAGGTGAGGACAAAGCCTGAATCATTTAACTGTGAGGCTTTGAATAGTGAGACTGACACTGAGCTGTTGAGCAGGAGAGTCTGTGTAGATACCTCATCTGCATCAAGCAGAACACACAACCTTCACCTTTAAGTATTCAGCTCCTTCTCCCTGTCCTGCCGTCTCAGGGGAGAAGCCTTTCCTGTGTGATAAATGCGGCCGAGGGTTCAACCGTGTGGACAATCTGCGCTCCCACGTCAAGACCGTCCACCAGGGCAAAGCCGGCATGAAGCGGCTGGTGGTAGCCGGGGGAAGCGCAGAGGAGGGAGCCGATGGATGCGCCGGGGCGTCCACCTCCGACAGCGAGATCAACATAGTCACGGTTACCACGGAGGACATCGTCACCCTGGCGACAGAGGCCCTGGCAGCCAGCGCTGTAGCTCAGCTGACAGGTCAGACAGCATCTTCGAGACACAGCTCGGTGTTTTGTTTTGTTTTAAAGAAATGTCAGCATACTTGGCTATCGATGCCACAGACAGCACCCTGCACGTTTGTAGATGATGAAAGGTCCAAAGGGAAGAGACGGTGACGAGTGTTTGTTTGTTTGTGTGTGTGCTAACAGTGGTTCCAGTGGCTGCTTCAGTGTCTGCAGATGAGACCGAGGCTTTGAAAGCTGAGATCACCAAGGCAGTCGAGAAAGTGCAAGAAGCAGGTAAGACGGGTGCTTTGTAATAACTCAGACATCTGTGTTGGAATTGTCTTCACCCTAAATCAGCTGGGATAGAATCCAGCCCCCCATGACCCTAGTGAGGATTAAAGTGTAGAGATGATGGATGGATGGATGTTTGTGGACTGTGGGAAGAAGCCAGAGAACCTGGAGAGAACCCACGCTGCACGGGGAGAACATGCAAACCAGGGATCTTCTCGCTGTGACAGTTCGAACCACCGTGCCACCCAATAGATTTTTACTTTTAGGAAAACACATAATGAGAAATGTGCACGTGAAGGCTCACTATGTTTTTCATCTCTTCTTCTGTTCCCAGACCCCAACACCCAGATCTTGTACGCTTGTGACTCGTGCGGTGATAAATTCTTGGACGCCAGCTCCTTAGCTCAGCATGTTCGCATCCACACAGCTCAGGCCCTGGTCATGTTTCAGGCAGACTCTGACTTTTACCAGTACACTGCCGCCACCACTGCTGAAGGGGATTCTGCGACAACATGGCAACCCACACCTGAACAGGTCATCCAGGAAGGAGAGCTCATCTTCCGTGCCCAAGACGGAGATGGACAGGCAGCAGCAGGAGGGATGGTGGCGGGAACACAAGGACAAGGAAGGTCAGCGGAGGTCATTCACGAGGAGGAGGAGGAGGAGGAGGAGGAGGAGGAGGATGGACAGGCAGAAAACCACACTGAGCTCCAAACAGATGGAAAAGAAACAGAGGAGGAAAAAGAAGAGATGGAATGTGAGAGTCGAGCGTAGTACGAAAGATTTGTGACGATTGTATGAAGTATTGCACGTAACAGAAAGCAAAGTTATAGAAGGAGAAGGAGATGCGAAGCGTGTGAGACGCGTCAGCGTTAAATCTAAACTGGATTCTTAACATTCTGCTTTCCTAAACAATTTTTATCTGTAACTGAAGGTCCTCCACCGTGTTTTTGCCGACCTAATCCTGGCAAACAAGGTGGGAACCGGACTTTTGGTAAATGTTGAGAATTCTTACAGAGATGGTTACACAAATTTGTAACGTCTGTTTATTTTTAGAATGAAATGTAGGATCATGCTTCGTCCTTTGTATAAAGCATCTAGATCACAGTTTTGTGTTGCCTAATATAACTTTAACAAAGACCTCTCTGTGCTATTTTTCCAATGCTCCGTTGAAATATGTACATTTTCCTTAAACACTGAAAGTATTTTGTTGTACTTAGTTGAAGTATTTTCATGCAAAGCGTGTTATACAAAGAGGACCTACATGAACGTGTAGCGGTACTGAAGAGTTAAGTGATGGACAAAAAGCACCTTCTGCAGAAGTGAGGTGTCGTCTGTGCTCGTGTAATATTTGTGTATTTGGAATGTGTACTCAAAGACTCTTAATACCTCTGATTAGACAAGGAAATGTGAAACGTGGTGATGACAAACTGGTCGGTAATTTTCAGTTTCACATTGAAACCAAGACAGCTTCTTTGTCTTTCTGATGCGACAGTTTCCCGTCACCGGTGGGTGTGTGTCATGGTTTTGTCTGACTATATTAACACCTGTTCAATGCTCCATTAAATATCTGTAACCTTTCTCAGACCCTCTTTATGTCACCATCAGCTCAATAAAGAATGATCACAGTCCGACCGGCTTTATGTGACGTTGTTGTCGTAGCAACAATACATCACCTGATGGAGTTGGTGCATTAAAATCAAATCCAGTTTATTGTCATGTGGCTGTACATACACAGCGGTACAGGCAGGATGAGAGAGCGTTACTTCAGGATCCAACAACTAAAAGCAATTTAAATAAACAAGTGTGTGCACATCTGGATCAGCAGCTCAGCATTCTGACAGCTGGTGGCATGAAGCTGTTGATCAGTCTGGAGGTTCTTCCTTTAACGCTCCTGATGGCAGCAGGTCATGGAGAGGGTGTGAGGAGTCCCTGACCATGTTCAGGGTCCTGCTCCTGCTCTGGAGAAGTTCCTGGACAGAGGTGAGGGAAACTGATGCCCCTCAGCCTCATTAACTATCCTCTGCAGGGCTTTTCTGTCTGACACACTGCAGCTGGAGGACCATGATGAGAGGCAGGATGTCAGAATATTGCAGGTATGTGTGGAAAACACACGGTTACCATCAGTAGGGGACGTAAGTCACTTCATATGAATACAGCTCAACACTTTGGTTTATATATTTATTACTGTTTTCAGCCTAATTATCAGCAGCGACACGGTATCACTTCACAAAAACCTGTGCAAAGAATGTGAGAGTGATATTTTCAGTCAATTAGGTGACTCATAAAACCACTGGTCATTAACATCCACACATTGTCTTTTCAGTCCCCACTGTACATGCGTTTTTTTTCTACTAGATGTGTATATTATTGTATATATTTGTCTTACTTTACTTTTTATTATTACTATTTATTTTATTTTTATTTTTTCTTTCTATAGTTATTTTACTTTATTATTCTTTTCCCTGCTCATTCCTCGGGCGACACCAACAGCCGGAACCAAACTCCCTCTATGTTGTTAACGCACTTGGCCATTAAATCTGATTCTGTAGAACTGACAACAAAGCTCTCCTCCCATTGGTCGAGTGGCAGTCAGGGAGACGCGTTCCCGTCTGTGATTGGCTGGACGTCGGGGGTCAGAGGTGAGTCGACGCTGCTAACGCTGACGTCGACTACTGCAGCAAAATGGCGGCGTTGACAGCAGTCGTGCAGACGAACCGGTCCACTTCTTTATCGGTATCGAAGAGACGAACCGAAACGATGAGCTCACGGCGGTTCAGACGTTTGGACAACAATGTTTTTCTGCTGCTGTCGCTAGTCTCTATGCTGCACTGTGCTCTGGCCGACGGCAAGACGCTGGTGCTGCTGGACAACCTGAACATCAGAGACACCCATTCAATCTTCTTCCGCAGTCTGGCAGGTCGGTACAACAGCCGTGCTTTCTCCACACACACTCACCCTCATGAGTTCTGGTTTATAGCAAGCTTATAGTTCCTCCACAGCTTGTGTCAGGTGTCTGCAGGTGTAGCCGCTGCAGCCGGTCGACCAGCCGTGCAGCATAGCAGGGATGCTAATGTTAGCTTAGCATTACAGCAGACACTAGAAGGGAAGAAACCTCTGTGAAATATCGTTTATTCAAAATGGTACCACCTCTTAATAATTGCATCACTTCTTAGTTGAACAGTGAGTGTTTCCTCCTGTGAACAACCAAAAACAAATACTTTAGAAAAACTACATTAAGAATACAGGCCCCGAAGTAGAAGCTCCACAAAGGTGAGCTCACCTGTGATCACTGACACACACACATGAGGAAACCTGTGATCATGGAAGCAAAACTCTGCGATTTCCAATGTCCTGATTACATGATAACCTGTTAACACCAGAACCTTCTCAGGTTTGGACCTGTGGGCTGTGTCTATGTGGGCTTCATAGCTTCAAGTGGAAAAAAAGTGCCAAAGGAGCTAAAAAATCTGATCGAGAGGCTTCTCAAAAATATCCAGGACCAACTAAAAATCACTTTAAACTGTTACAGCAGTAATCAGGAGGTTTAGATCGAGCCTTTGTACTAACAATACGGTCCTTCTCAAATGTAGGCACAAACAGCAACACTACTTTGAAAACCTGACAGGCCTCAGATCTGGCACAGCGGTGAAGGACGGTGGATATTACCAGCCTCTCTGGAGGGTATCCAGAAAATCAACTGGTTTTTCCTGCACAAAACGTAACCGTGCATAGATAGTCCTCCTGACAGTGAAACACGGGGGTGTGATGATAAGAGGCTGTATGAACGCAAAAGGTTTTGAGGAGATGATAGTTTCTGCCAAAGAGCAAATACCGTCCTGTTAGACTAACACCAAAAAATCTATTTTGTGCTCAATGCAACTGATCGATTTATGTTAAGAATATACGTACAGCTATTGCCAGAATGTTAACATGGTATATGTACATAATAATTCACTTGTTTATGCATCTCCAGCTGTTTCACTTACAAGGACTGATTAGTAATTACTGACTGTTGGTCACACACGATTTATTGCAAACGTTAAACGCTGTTGTAGTACAAAGGTCCTCTCTCCTCAGGAATTCAGTGTGCCGACACTTGATGAGCATCCCAATGTTCTAACGCATCTCTCCTTTGCAGATCGCGGCTTTGACCTCACATTCAAGACGGCTGATGATCCCTCTCTGTCTCTGATCAAGTACGGACAGTTCCTGTACGACCATCTGATCATCTTCTCACCATCGGTTGAGGGTAAATTTCACACGCTTAGCTCAACAACATCTTTATGGCTTGTGTTTGCTTTCTTGAAACAGTCTGTGAAATCTGCTTCTTCTCATCTTCTGCAGACTTTGGTGGAAATATAAACGTGGAGACCATTACGTCCTTCATTGACGGTGGAGGCAATGTCCTGGTCGCTGCCAGTTCAGATATCGGTCAGTTGGTTTAGTGCAGCTTTTGTTCCAGTGTTACTTCCTTTAAAAAACTATTGCAACCTTGTCATGCATATTTATTTCCGTGTTGCACAGGCGACCCTCTGAGGGAGCTGGGCAGCGAGTGTGGCATTGAGTTTGATGAGGAGAAGACTGCCGTCATCGACCATCACCACTACGACGTGTCTGATCCCGGAGAGGTAAACAGTTTGGTCTCCAGACAGTGGGCACATTTACGCTTCACAAGTTAAGTCCTCGGATATATTATAAATAACATACAGTCGTGACTCGATAATCCGACCCTTAACAATCCTAGGAAAAACGAACAGAACCCATAAAAACAGCCTTAACATAACGACAGCCTTGGATTGTGACTCCGACATGACATTTAATGTCACCAATCAGGATGACGGCGTATTATCTGACTGAACAATCCCACAGATTGGCTACGTTCACACTGCAGGACTTGATGCTCAATGAGGATTTCTTTGTGACTTCCTTCACGTTTCCAGTTCAATGCGACTTGTATGTGATCTGCTGTGTGAACTTCATACGACCCAAAAGTGTCCCGCATGCGCAGAAGAGGACACGACGACGTCACACGCAGCGAGCGTGCTCAGTGTTTATGGAAGTAAACATGGATGGTAACGGTGGAGCGTATCTGCCACTCCCCCGCCGCCACCGATGGAGGAAACAGAAGTGTGAGCGCTAACTAAACTAGCATCAGCAGCCAAGTACTGCCTGTGTGTTCTGGACACTTCCACCCCGGGGCAGCGCTCTGACGGGGCTTAGGCTGAAATCCAGCGATGCGTCGTGTTCTAACAATACACTAGTTATTATAACAACTATGAACAATAATGAACAACTAATGAGCCTTCCAGCATCAAGCCCTCCTCGTATCTGGACCTCCGTCTTGACAATCCGACAGCCTTGCTATCCGACATAGAAGAAGGTTTTACATTTAGTGTCGGATTATCGAGTCATGTCTGTATATCCTCTATATTGTTATTTACATGGTGTTTTTTTGTCTCCAGCACACCCTGATTGTTGCTGACCCAGAGAACCTGCTGAAAGCTCCCACTATTGTTGGAAAACCCACCAATAAACCAGTCCTGTTCAAGGGTGTCGGGTAAGCACCACACAACATGGTAGTAATGTAATGATGGTACAATGAGCAGAGCTAAATGTGAAGTATGTTAAACATCTGTCCAGTAGAACACAGTTTCTGTCTTGGTTTCATCGTGTGTTACTTTAGCTGTAGCAAGACCTTGTGTCAAAAGAGGCAACAGTTGATGCTGCATCTGTTTACTGATGTTCAGAGATGACCTGCATTACTCTATGGACACCATATAAATTTACCTTCCATGTCCTCCTTCCAGCATGGTTGCAGACCCAGACAACCCTCTTGTTCTGGACATTCTCACCGGCTCTTCCACTTCCTACTCCTTTTTCCCCGACAGACCCATCTCTCAGGTAACATCACTGACGTATGATCATAATGTCTGACAGAGAATTAAGAATAAGTATATTCAGAAAAGAAATACCTTTAAAGTGTAATCATCCTTGATTAGTGAGCTGTTGGTTGGCTGCGTCATAACTTTACAACATAGCAAAGTGAGAGTTTAACTGTTTGAGGTTCCCCATGTGTCGCTAAGCTTTGTGAAGGCATGTGTCTCGGTGGAGCATTAGTGGCCAGAGGTAGCATCATGGGTTTTTTTTTTAATTAGAAATGAAATACAACAGTAAACACTAAGTTTTCGTCATGCTTCAGTATCCTCATGCTGTTGGCAAGAACACCCTGCTGATCGCCGGCCTCCAGGCCAGAAACAACGCCAGAGTGGTTTTCAGCGGCTCCCTGGACTTCTTCAGCGATGCCTTCTTCAACTCTGCTGTGCAGAAGGCCACACCGGGTTCACAGAGGTACTCGTCACTGTTCATATTCTTTCTTTTATTCCGTCATGTGTTATACGACAACCTTCAGTCACTAAATCCAAACTATCATCAGTGACGTCCTGGTTAATTTAGTTTTTATGGACATTTTTATGTCCAGAAGTAATTGTTCCCGTCAGGCGGATGACTGATGACATTTCTGTGGCTGACATCTTCCTCTTCTTGTTGTGAACCTTGTTAGACACGAGCAGACCGGGAACATGGAGCTGGCTGAGGCTCTGTCTCGCTGGGTGTTCAAAGAGGCTGGAGTCCTGAGAGTGGGAGCTGTCACCCATCACCCCGTGGGAGAGTCCACACCGCCTGCAGCGTACACCATCACTGACCTCGTGGTAAGTTTTAAAATGCTACCCAACTACCATCACCTTAAAGATGTTTGGCTTTTAGCTGTTTATCTCATTCGCTCTAACGCCGACCCACACAGGAGTACAGCATCGTCATCGAGATGCTGTCCGAGGGCCGCTGGGTCCCCTTTGACGGAGACGATATTCAGCTGGAGTTTGTGAGGATCGACCCCTTCGTCAGGACTTATCTCAAGAAAAATGGTGCGTCCCGTTGCCTGTAGAGCGTTTGGCTTAGTAAAGCTGGAGTAGGCAGTGACTTTTTTTTAGATGTAATGTGCAAAAAAATCCACGATGAGCTTTCAGCATGTTGGCCGTGACGTAAGATTATGGCTGATGGCTTTGAGAGCGGTCTTTTTAGAATGAGAGCGTTTCTATCGGCAGATGCTGATTCAAATGGCAGAAAATCCTGCCAGACTGCAAAGAAACCAAAAAGAACAAAGGGAACTTCTCAGAAAGGAGAGAAACGGAAAAGAAACACAACAAAAATCTTTACACAAGTTTGAGGAGAAAATAGGGTGGAAATCCTTTTAGAATTGCTGCTATAAAATGGCACTGAGGTCACAATCGAGTAATTGGCTGCGTATGTAAAGCATGTGCGAATGCATTTGTTCATCTGGTGGGAAGCTCTCATTTGGCTTTTTATGCCTTTTGAGGTTTCTGTCTACCGCAGCTGTAATTCATTTTCACAGCCTGAATGTCGTGCATCCTAATGATTTGTACGGCCGAACTATAACTGCCTTGTCTCTGTACCAGGAGGTAAATACAGCGTCCAGTTCAAGCTGCCTGACGTGTACGGAGTGTTCCAGTTCAAGGTGGACTACAACAGACTGGGATACACACATCTTTATTCCTCTACTCAGGTAAGTTAATGCCTCCACCTGGGCATAGCAAAGCTCAAATACTGATACGACTGCCACGTGTTTATGTTGAGTTTATTTGTTAAAGGAATGGGAAAGATCCTCAACTTACTGATGGTTTATAACATCCATGACCTGATGTATGACTTGCTAAGTTCTACACCTGTCTGCCCACCGCAGGTATCGGTGCGTCCTCTGCAGCACACTCAGTACGAGCGCTTCATCCCGTCAGCCTTCCCGTACTACGCCAGCGTCTTCTCCATGATGACGGGACTGTTCGTCTTCAGCATCGTCTTCCTGCACATGAAAGAGAAGGAAAAGTCAGACTAAAGGAGAGAAACGATGGGGGAGGGGAAGGAGGGAAAACAAGAAGAAATATGGAAGTGAACTTGTGTCTTGATGCAGAGACTCGGACTGTTTCTGTTCTGGTTTTGGGGCACTCGGCTAATTAGCGTCCAGGTGGGTCAGAAGGGCTGCTGACTGCAACGCGATTCACTGCTCGGGTTTGTTTCTGTTTTTGAACTTTTAAAAAACCAAGAAGCCCTTATATGTTTGGAATTCAGTCAGCGTTTGTAAGAGGTTGCTTTACATTTGATGAAATTATTTCCCAAGTAGAGCATCTGCCTGGAAACGAAATCCTCGTTAAAATTTGACCCACATTTTGTCAATCAGAAAAGGTTGCTGTGGTAACTACATGCACTGAATATGCCAACTGCTCGTTAGTTTTTGATAAAAACTTTAATGTGTTTCCAAAAAAAAAACTTGGAGTCATCTTAACAATAAAATATTGACATTCCACTCAGTAGGAGTTCCTGTCTGTTCTGTGCCATCATCTCCTTTATGCTTTGAAGCTTGTTTCCTGTGTGACATACTGTCCTTAAACTTATTTTGCTTGTGGAGTATTCACACCAAACTAATCGTGCATCTACACGAAAAAAAAGGGAATGAAAAAACAAAATGAACTGTTTTTATCTCTGACACCCTGACGGGCCACCAGTCCATCACAGGGCCACACACACACACACACACACTTATGGCTAGTTTAGAATAACCTGTTGGCCCAAGCCTTCTTTGCACCGTGGGAGGAAAACCCACACAGGAAACACATTTAACCTCCACACAGATAGACTAGATAGATTCTGTCCTATTTACACAACACCACCATCAAACAATTCTAATCAGACTTCAGGGCTCATCGAGCACAGAATCAAAGTTTCCGCTGACCTGCTGCTGTATTTAGACTCTGGTAATTGTGCCGTTTTAGTTCTTTTAGATCTTAGCATGGCAGCCTCTGGCATTCTTTTAAACCCTGATGAGGACCGTGTTGGCATCCCTGGCCCGGTGCTGAAATGGTCATCAGACAGGTTCTCTTCTGTCTGTGTCCTACTCTACTGCTCCAATCACCTGTGGAGTTGTTAAGATTTCATCGTAGGGTCCGTTTTATTTTATTTTTTGCTCGTCTTTGGCTCCATCTTCTGCAGCAACATCTCCCTTCACTGCTACCCAGATGACACACAAACATACCCGACTCCTTGCATCCACCTCAACCTGCCTCCAGGAACTGTCTTCTGCTGAATGACAAGAAGAACTGATTATTTTTGGTGCCTCCAACACCAGAACGACCATCACCAGCCACCTCAGACCACTGACAGCAAATCCTAATGCTCATTAAGGAATCTTGGTGTCATCTTTTTTTTGGGTTCCTTCCCACCGTTGCCGACTGCTTGCTCAGAGGGAGTCCAGAGGAAACTGACTGTGTTAAGTGCTCTGTGACATATGTTGTGAACTTCACTATACAAATAAAACAGAATTTAAATTGAATTGAATCTTTTAAAATTTGACAAACAGGTGAACTGGATTTCTGTGACCTCAGTGTACCAGTATTGGTCTTCACACTCTGCTGTTAGACTCCTAACATCTAAAAAAAAATCATGTTTTTGGCTGTTTGGCACAAACATCCCTTTACTGGCTGTCTGTTGAATGCAGAATTTATTTTAAGGTTCTTCGACTTGCTTAGAAAACCATATGTTGGTTTGGAAGAGTCTTTTTTTTTTTCAATCAAATCTTACTTCTCATTTACATTTTTAAGAAAAAGATGTTTTCAGTGGCTTTTGCTTGCATTTAGTAATTCTATTATGTTTGTTTCTTTTGTTTTTAGTTATTGTCCCGTTATGTTTGTATTTGTTTATTTTGTTTTTAGTTATTGTCCCGTTATGTTTGTATTTGTTTATTTTGTTTTTAGTTATTGTCCCGTTATGTTTGTATTTGTTTATTTTGTTTTTAGTCATTGATCCTACAAGTTTTTATTCTTTATATTTACATGTCTTGTCATGTTTTCTGTTGGTCTTTTTTTTATATATATATATTTTTGGTGCTGCACGCCGAATTCAGGAGTTAATTTTGCTGATTCAAAGTGAGTGATTTTTTTATGATGTACTGTGTTGTGAATGACGTTAATCACAAAAAACTAAAATTGTGAAACTTTTGAACGTCATTCGGTCATGAGTGTTTCATGATGACGTAACCTCCTTACGGTGGGGCTTCAGTCTGAGACTCCTGCTTAGAGAAAAAAGTACCCTTAGCATTACCAGTTTAACTGGCTAACACGCAAAAGTATCATTTAAAGTAGTTCTCAAAAGGCAGCCGGAGTAAGGACACGGAGAGTATCATGGTTAAAAGTTATCTGCGGCTGAAGTGTAAAACTTGGTAGCCTCCCTCAGCCGGAGTCCGGAGCGGTGAAGCGGCTAAAGCTAAAGCTAACGCGATTCAAACATACTTGGCTAACTGGACCCGCTGGCGGAGGTTCGGCTGTCCCGCTGCTTGCTGAGCGTTAACATAATGCTTGCGAACTAGCGGTGCTGCCAAACACTGCGTGTGTACAAATAGACGTCAGAGAGTGTGTCGTTTGGTTTTGGGGCTCGTTTGTTTTGGAGGGCAGTGTGATGTTTGCTAGCTAATGCGGGCGGTGTTAGCTTTAGCACAACAAGAGCGCGTCTCCGGGAGTCAGCTGACAGCCTGCCGCGAGCTGCCAACAGACCAGGGATGGATCAACTGAAAGTGAAGGATCGCATACTGGAAAACATCTCGTTTTCTGTGAAAAAGGTGAGCGCTGCCAACACACTTTGTTGTCACACTGTTTTAAGATTTCCCACCAGCTCGAGTCAGTGGAGCTAACGGCAGGTCAGCTATTGTCTGCCAAAGAGGGCAACTTTCAAGTCGGGAGGACATCACCGGGTCTGAGTCAGGGAAGGGCCTTGTCCGGACAGATACCAGAAAATCAGGTCATGACTGTCCCCTGCGAGGTCTCGGTTCAGCCTGTACAGCTCCGGCTTCCTGTTGTTTACCTGTAGTTGGGGATTGTGTGAACAATAGTGGCACCGAGCCCCTGTTTGCTCACTGCGGCATGTGTTCAACACATCTGCCCCCACACCTCACACACTCCTGCACCACAGGGTTCAGCCTGCTGATCTTAACCTCTGCTTTACATTTAACCTGTGAGAGTAGTTCAGAATGTCTGTCCAGACTTGGTTCTAGACCCTGTTTGTCTGTTTTTATGTGATGACAGCACATGAACTATGCAGACACTCATAAAGTGTTGAGCCTGCAGCTGTCCAGCATGTGTGCAGTGTGTACCTTAGACAAACATCAGAGTCATGTGGAGATAGTCACAGGATAGGCATTATCTTCATCTGGATGACCATTCTTAAAGCTTCTTTCCTCAGAGTGTCACTGCTATATGTTAGCTTTCACTTCTTCAGGGTTCTGCAGTGAGACACTTACCATCATCTGGTAGCTTTTAGCATCCATCCATTATTTATACACCTTAATCCTCACCAGGGTCGTGGGGGGCTGGAGTCTATCCCAGCTGACACCTGGACAGGTAACCAGTCTATCACAGGGCTGCACTTAGAGACAGACAACCAAACACACTCACATTCACACCTACGGACAATTTACAATCACCAATTAACCTCAGCGTGTTTCTGGACTGTGGGAGGAAGCCGGAGAACCCGGAGAGAACCCACGCTGCACGGGGAGAACATGGAGACTCCACGCAGAAAGATCCCGGGTGTCCTCACCAGGACCTTCTAGCTGCGAGGCGACGATGCCAACCACCCTGCATTTAACACTGTGTGTGTATTCGCCAGTAGAAATGTGGATGGTTTTAGATCCAGCATATGGATTTAAAGTGAAACAATGGCTACAGGAATAGAAATGCGAACGTTAATCATTTACTACAACATCTGAGAATTGTAGCCCATTTACTCATACTGTCTGTAGGAGCCATTTATGTTTATCGTTGACAGGTGATTTAATGTGGATTATTTGGACACAGGGTGTTTATGTCGAGGGCACAGGTGACAGGAAGAGGAAGGCACAGGTAGGGGGAGGGCACACAGCTCTCATCAGACCAGCATCAGACATTTTTTGCATACCATCGAATGAACCATCCACTAAACGACAAGACTGGAAATTCTGTTTTTGGTCTGGTCACTCTGCTCCACCTGTGCAGTAGAAGAACATTAGGACAATGAAAAGTTGCTGTTACGTCCCTATTTGAGGCGATGCCTGCATGTGGTGACACAGAACCAGCTGGTGAAGCTTTTAGAGGCTGTCAGCCGGCTTTACTCACTACATGTTTAAGGTGTGTTTTTCTTTTCTTTCTTTTGGCCTTAAGTCTGGTCTTAATTTGTGAAACACATACTTTGTTGGATTAAGGGCAAGTCATTCCACTGCTTGGCTCTAAATTCCTGAGTTCCTTTGACTGCATGTTGGACTGTAGGATCATTGTCCTGCTGCACTCCCTGGAACACCCGTAATGCCCAAAGTTTAACCTCACAGTCGTTCATCTGTTTAAAGTCAAATGTGCTTTTGTACAGAGATTAAGTCATAATGAAATGACTACAAACGACTCATTCTGCAGATTAAATAATTTCATCGTTCTTACAGGCAGGAACTCGATTGTTTGGCTCGTTTACAACAAACAACAAAACAAACATCTAAGATCTCTCGTCTCTCTACAGTTGCAGAGTTACTTTGCGGCCTGTGAGGATGAGACCCCGGCGATCCGGAACCACGACAGGGTCCTGCAGCGTCTCTGTGAACACCTCGACCATGCTCTGCTGTACGGGTAAGAGATTCAGTCGAAGCACATTTCGTCTAATTTGATTAGATCTATCATGCAGATACTCTGTGTATAAATCCTGTTATTTTGGCATATATGCAGAGTGCATCTTCCTCTATGTGATCTGTCACAACACGACTTAAAAATTATAGATCCAGGGGAATGGGGTGTGTTGTGGAAATTCTGGAAGAGGTTGATGTAGGATGAGGAGCCCGACACAGAGAGACACACCGGAGACTCAGAGGTTGGGATAAGGTTTACTGATGCATCAGGAGAAGCAACAGAACAGCAGCCAGGACCAACTCTGAAGATCCCTCTCACACCTTTAGTCTTATATCCTCCTTCAGTGGGAGTCACATCCAGATTAATGGGAGAAAAGGAAACAAAGATAAGTCGCCTGGTATCATCTAGCCTTCAGAGGTTCAGGCTGTCCTCCTACAACGAGGTTTACGTGAGGTTAAGAATCTATAGAAGTTACAGAGCGCACATCTGCTACAAGCACTACGTTCACCTCAGGAGGTCACTCCGGGTTCAATATCATCTCCATAAGGAAAGTCATTTTTCCTTCACAGCATGCAGCAAAGGTCTGGGCCATATGGGAATATTACTGTTTAATTCTGGTGTGCATTTAGTTCTGGTGTCGTGTCTTACGCCGTGACACACCTCCTCCCTTTATTTCATCGTTTGTTTTCTACCTTGCAGGCTGCAGGACATCTCCTCAGGCTACTGGGTCCTGGTCCTTCACTTCACCAGGAGAGAGGCTGTGCGTCAGATCGACGACCTTCAGCACATAGCAACCAACCTCGGTCGAAGTGAGACGCGTGTGATGCACAGTTCAGCACATTCATACTCTGAGTACCTGGAGTGAAAGTGTTTAATGAGTAGCAATGCAATAAAGACGTGTTTTGTGTTCTCTGTAGGCCGTGCGTGGTTGTACCTTGCGTTGAGTGAGAGCTCTTTAGAGAGCTATCTACGCCTTTTCCAGGAGAACCAAGGACTGCTGCAGAAGTATTACTTCAAGTAAGTCCTCCAGCAAGGAAAGGAAAGATCCAACCTGAGACATTCAAATCAGATTGTTATTTATCAAGTGAATTTAGTTGGAATATTTTGTCATTAAACAAACTCAACTGATTTCCTTTGCTGGTAGGAACGCGCTGGTCTGCAGTCACGACCACCTCACCCTCTTCCTCACACTGGTGTCCGGCCTGGAGTTCATTCGCTTCGACCTGGAGCTGGTTAGCTTAAACTTTCCTACACTATCAGCAATAACTGAGCTCCTATATGTCAGCAGCAGCGTACCTATAACGTCTTTTTGGGGGGTCTTGCTGGTTTAGGATGTGCCCTATCTAGATGTGGCCCCCTACATGCCAGAATACTACAAACCCCAGAACCTGCTGGACTTTGAGGAGAGGCTGCCCAGCTCAGACAGCCTGTCGCTGCACTCCTTCACCTCCCTCACCTCCACCAACCTGGAGTGGGATGACAGTGCCATCGCTCCCTCCAGTGAAGGTACAGTCCACTGGTTATTCTCCATCCATCTTATCCATGACTCATTACATTTTCGTTCGCTTGCTTCTCTTATCAGATGTAACTTTAGATTAAAAAAACAAAAAAAAGAGGTAAAATAACTGGTGTGACAACATCTGGATCATTGCAGCCCCGAGAAACATCTATTGTTGTGTATTAAAGGGGCTCTAATCCTGAATTGTTTTGCACATTGCTGCTGATTGAATATGGTAACCTTTATTTTTAGACTTATGATACGATGAGGGGCGCTGGAGTGAAAGTACACACTCATACTTTGGCACAAATTCACAGAGTGATATCAAGCTAATGGCATGTTGACGTAAAAGTTGGATTGATTCTTACAAACTCTGTGTGACTCACACAAGCTAAAGTGCATTTTACCAAATGGATCACTTGGCGTGCAGACGGTTACGAAACGTCTTTGGGGTGATTGCGGCACTCGCTCAGATCTTTCTCCATCGCTCCCCACAAAGCATTGAGCCAGTTATTCTATTTTGTTCCCCACGTGTCCCACATTAGTTCGGTTGTTTCATATGTCATGTTGTTTTACTGTTTTTATGTCATTGACTCCTCTCTTCTGTCTCCACTCCACCTCTCTCTCTCTCTCTCTCTAATGTTGAATGTTATCCCTCCTTTTTTTAGATTATGATTTTGGTGACATCTTCCCCGTGTTGCAGTCATTGCCAAGTGCAGACTGGGAAGGTGGGACAATGGTCAACCCTTCCCTTAGTGCCCTTCCATCCCTTCTTCCTTTGCTCCCTGTTTTCTGGCATGGCCATCCCACAGTCTGTGCTTAATGCATGCTGGGTTGTATTGCTGTGTGATGTTGTGTATCATGCTGATTTCTGTGTAAATGGATTTGACAAACATTAAAAAAGAAGCCAGTATTTTAATATATTATTATGATACAAAGCTGAACATTAGAAGAAAACGTGGCCTCTCCTAAACATCCAGGTTTCCACTCAGGGTGAATTTAACTACAAGACTTTCACACATTTGCATTTTAATTAGCAGTAAAACGTGACAGCGTGCATCCATTTTACCAACATTTCTGTCACTTATAATGCTATGAATTAGAAAACAGTGACCTCATCATACACATTGCATTAAACCGGTAAGTTTGGTTCATGTGGGAGCTCAGTGTCGGGTGGGTTGTCTGTTATCTGCAGCGCTCTGCATGTGTTGCTCATCTGGGGAATGATCCTAATGCTCACTCTGCTGTATCATGTACCACAGCGAGATAGATGCCTGAAGTAACTGGTACTCACCTCGTCCAGTCTGTCCAGTGCGCTGTGTATCTGTCTCTGTGTTGTTTCTTTGTAATGTCTTCTCTCCTTGTGTGATGTGCGGCACTGGCCTAGGTTCAGCTAAACTGAGGCGACAATCAGGAGCTCATAGAGTGCAGATTTTCCTTTTTGCTGGGTGCTGTACACACATCTGTTTTCTCCTGGTTCACAATTCATTTCGTGATCTAAATTCAAAGTGGAATATTGCACGCGCACATCCATCTGCGCCGCTCCGATAGAGCCCGTTCTGGCTTTTGCTGGACTGGTTTGTTCTCGACTTAGCTCATGTTTATCCAGCTTTAGTTGTTTGGATTGAGGCGTAACTGCCAAAGAAAGTAACGAGTGGCAACAGCACCGCTTGGTTCAGTCAAGATGGATCCCAGTAAATACCAAAGTACTGATTCTTGTTAGTTACGTCATTCACGTACTTGTGTGTGATTCATCTTAGTAGTAACGCTTGACCTCGGCCTGTGCCTCTGCAAAGAAAGCTGCTGCTTGTGTACCTATTTGATGTGTTACTTATTTGTGCCTCTTCGCTCCTGCAAAGAACTACAAAGAAACTACAGTTGCTAACATTTGTTGTGCTTTGCTGATGAAGAAATACACAGACGTTTACGCACAGTCGTTTTGTTGAACAATTTTCTGATGATGATGAAAGTAGAAATCCAGAAAATGTATGAATAGAAATACATTTTCCTTCGATTATGTCTTAAATCAAAATGTCTTTTCTTGTCACTAATCCCACCAGCAAGACGGTGCAAAAAAAAATCTGTGTATTTCTTTCAGTATTTTGAGGTAAATGTGTGTCGCTGCTGCTTTTGTATGAACCGACTGTCTCTGTGTGGCTTTCCATGGTAGAGGGTGACCTGACCGACCAGGCCAGCTGCCCGCGGTCCAGCGGTTCTGATCCTCAGACCGTCATCAGTGACACAGTGGTCCTCTCCACCACTGTGAAGGGGAAGGTAGCAGCTCGACTTTCTCCTCACAGCCCCACGTCCAGACACAACCCCTTCAACGAGGACTCCGACACAAACACCTCCGCCGATGTTACGCCGGTTCATGTGGCCAATCGCTACAACACCTGCACCGCTGGAGAGGACGCGGAGATCAACAGCAACGAGCTGGAGGTCATTAGGTACAGTAGCTAAAGCTTCAGTTTGTACCATGAAGGATTGCATTCTGTCTAAATCGTTATCACAGTTAACCTTCTGCTCCTCCAGGATGGCCAGACGAAGGAAACCGGCTAAGAAGCGCCGTGGGAAGGGCTCCACAGATTCCAGCAGCAGCATCCATAACTCCGTCTCCTCTGAGCACATGGAAATAGACTATGCTGATTCAGTGAACTGCACTGTGGTGCAGCTGGATAGTGAAGGAGAGTTGCGGAGAAGCAGGGTCGGGTCAGAGGTTGTGGAGGAAGGAGGCGAGGATGGAGTGGAAGGCCTCCTACGGCTCCCGGAGATGACGGACACCTCTATGGACAGCGTGGGCCAACCCCTCCGTGACGTCATGGACCGGCTCAACGGGGCTCTGGACAGGGAGGTGAACTGGAAGCACCCAGAGGAGGAAGAGAAGCGCAACGAAGGCTGTGATCAGGGCCCCGAGCCTCCTGCACAGCAGCCCTTTCGTAAGGATTCAGAAGGCAAGCCACCCGACCCGGCCCCAGGAGAGACGCCTGACTCCCCTCTGGCCAAAATCCCCAACTGCCTGCAGGCCTCTCCTGTGCCTGCAGACGTATGCTGCTTTACCCCCAACAGTCCAGACTCTGCTCCCACAGGTGGTAGCCACCATGACTCTCCAGAGCATCGTCAGTCGCAGACTCTTTCAGGTGGCTTTGAAGATGAAGGAGAGGCAAAAACACCACAAGGACAGGAGCCCGAGCTGAAGGAGCAGGCGGACGAAACGCACAAAACTACATTTACAGCTGAGGAGGCAGAACAGCCGCAGGACGAGAAGCTCAGTCCCTCTGAAAGTTCTCATCCTGCAGAGTTTAAGTAAGGAGCTGAAGCAAAATACGCTGTTTGTTGTTGTAATGTCACGTACTGCTTGTCTAATGTTCTCCACCATTCATGTTTCAGGGTGGACAACAACCACTTGCTTCTTCTTATGATTCATGTATTCAGAGAGAACGAGGAGCAGCTCTTTAAGGTAAAGTCAGTGTATGTTAACAGACTATTAAGGCACCTGAATATAAGCCACTAACTTTAAAAAGTAAACCAGTTGTGTACATATACAGGCCGCACTCGTCTATAAGCTGCATGTGTCCATGTTGAGATATTTACACAGAAAGATGTTTTAACGTTTAGTTAAATACCTACCGGTAAGGTACACAAATACTTTTTTCCTGTAACATGGCTGGTTAACAAAATAAAAAACTACAGCAGCCTCCCAGGAAAAGTCATTGATCGCTATCTTCATCTTCTAAACCACTAAAGTCGTCTTCTTCAGTGTCTTCAGGAGTTGAACAGCCTCAGAATCACTTCGTCACTTCCTCAGTCTCTCTGTCGTCTTTCAGTGTCACTTTGGTCTTGAGGCAAATTCATAAAAATCCATAAATTAGCTGCATCATTGTTTAGGCCGCAGCGTTCAAAGCGTGTGAAAAAAGTAGGGGCTTATAGTCCAGAATTTACGGTATTTATTTTAAAATGAGTTACATTCTCTGGAGGAAATGGGAATGTTTGAGCGAAGCATTGCTTTTGTTCATTTAATGTGAAAACTATAAAATAAGGATGTTTACGTCTAGAGAAGTAAGGTGGCATTATGGCCCTTTGATAGGCCTGTTTTTGGGGAAAATGAATTCCACCTTTATGCATCTTTCAGCGAGAGAGGACGGTGGTTTTGGTGTTGCTGAACCTGAACTTGTTTTGACATCAGAGAGGCGGTTGTTCAGTGGAAGTGTTGCAAGGCCCAGTTTGTCAACGACCCTTTAGCTGTGTTTAGCAATATATCTGCTGGCATTACAGTTTGTGATATTTATGCAAACTAAATTCTGCATTATCACAATTTACAGCCGGCCTCTATCATCATTGTATGACAGAAGTAAATAGCGTTGTTGAATAATAAGCAGCTGCTGTATGTCTACAAACTGTCTGTATAGTCTGCGAAACAGCACTCTGCTACAGTGTGGGATCCAGTTTAAGAATCAATAACTAGTGGAGACAGATAAGTGTGAAGGTTTCTAACGCTTTATCTGGTTTATCTTTGTGTTTCTAGATGGTGAGGATGAGCACAGGGCATATGGAGGGAGACCTGCAACCCCTTTACCTGCTGCTGACTGACTGTTACATCTACCTGCTGAGAAAGGGTAAGTGGTTCAAACCCAGC